TTTTGTCTTGGTTTTTCTGCTTTTAACCCTTTAAAGCCCGATCCAAGAATAAAACAAAACAGAAAATAACTTTTTGGGGGTTTTAAGTCTTTTTTTGGCCTTTTAACAAAATATGTAAAAACAAAAATAGATTTTTAATATTAATAATTTATTACTATGCGATTGGCCAAGATTATTTTTCGTGTACTCCTCTGCCCCCTGTTATCAGGTGTATCTGATTGTGTACAATAGGATTTTGAGCAAAGTTTTTACCATTAAATTATGCAAAAGGTGTCAGACGCAAAACATTTCAGAAACCGTACGTATCAAATATGATACATTTGGCATTACAGGGTTAAACTTGCCTTTCTCTCCGTCCACCCCCCCCCCCCCCCCCCCCTCGGGCGTCCTTGCCTCTGGTGGGGGGGCCTGACCCCTCCAGAGAGGGCGATCCATCACTGCCTGGGAGGGGACAGATCGGGGACCAGTCTCTCTCATCCCGGGGCTCTTTCTCTTTGCATCCACGTGTGTGTAATGGCCCGTGTGTGTGTATTTTTTTTCTGAAGCCCGTGGGCCTCAATCCCTCTCTGGGGAGAGCAACAATGGCTTCCCTCAGTGTAAATGACTAACGCGTTATCTCCAGGGTTGCTATGCTTATGTAAAGCGTGAGGAGTGGGCCGGGTGGAATCGGTGAGGGCGGCCATTTGAACACCTACACACACTCCACAGGCTTCCTGCTCATTTGTCAGTCGTGTGATTAGAAGTTTGGCAGCCTCATTTCTATTCTGATGATTCCTCTTACACTTCCCGCCACTGGCAACACAAACACACACACACACACACACACACACACACACACACAAATAGCTGGAATGAGCGATATGTAGTTTGTTTATAATCAATTCCACAATGGCCCGCGTGCAAGTTTATGTCAAACCGGGGCTGAAATTCATTCAAGTAACATTGTGTTAGCAAATAAACGCCTCCAAGCCGCCTGGAAATGTCTGTTTATTTCAGAGAAAAACGGCCAGATGCTTGCAGATGTTCCTCTTATTCTCTTTGTTTTGACAGGCTGGGTTAATTTCACTGTGTTCATGCGCTAAAAACATAGAGTGGCAAAGGTTTGGGTTCATTTCACTGTGTTCAGACACAAACAACATTGAGTGGAAAAGGTTTAAAACGTGGAGCCGTGTTCACAGTTTTGGCTGCTGCCGTGTTTCCTCTGAGCATGTACAGCTGAGGTTTCTCTCCTAATATCGACTAAAAACCTAAGAGCTTCACACGCAGACTTTCCAGCTCATTAGAGAAGCTTTACATGAATTTTAATAGGGCGTGTGTGGGTTTAATAAGATCCAGGTTGCCGGTGCCCTCTGTCTGATTCCATCCTAATGTCCCCTTGTCGAGGCAATTAAGGCCCCCGGTTTGTGTCAGAAACTCGGAGACTGCCGTCATTCAAGCAGAAGTGAAGCGGTAAATGCTACAGAAAGCCCAGGTAGTCGTAAAAATAACTGATCGGGTGTTTGGTTAGGAGGAAGGGATCAGTGGGAGAACACGACTGAGCCCCCCCGCTGCTGCAGATTTACAGCCTTCTCCACACATCCAAATCCGGCAACGCCGCTATCTAACCTGCATTTGGCCTTTTTTTGAGCTCACTCCTCAAGATCCGACTCTCTCTCTCACTGGGAATCCACAGTCTTGGGATGATAATTGGGCTCCAGCCAAAGAGCAGAAGAATTTCCAGCTCATCTATTTAACATTTGTCCTCAAGAGGCTGCAGAGATACAAACGAGTATTACTGAGGATCCTCTGTTATTCCGGTGGTTAACCAAGCGCCCACATAAGCTATTTAAAAACCATTTAAAAGGAAAAAATATATTATATTAAGAACAATTTAAAGAGAGTTCCCTGTCCGGATCTCGGCTTACTTAAATTCTCTACTCTTAACTAACAAGCCTGTAGATTTTCTTTAAAATGAAAACCTGAATTTGATCCTTTTTTACTGACATTATATGTCAGAAGGAGGTTTCAGGGAACACCGAGCAGAACCCGTTTGTGTGAATTAAACATCACACTGAGGCCAATTAAATGCATCAAGGATTTATTTTAATGTTAATTAACTCACTCAAGGGGATTATTTTAGCTCTAGTTTTCATAGTTTGGGAACCATCAGTGCAGTCACCACAACATCTGTTACATAAGCAAAACTCAACCTTTAAGGCTTTTTTTTGTTTTTCAAGTGGAGCAATTAACTCGAGCACCTTAAAAGTTTTTCTGGCAACTTTCTCTGTTGATTTTTGGAGAGCCTGTGCCAGAAAAGTCGAAGCAAAAAGCGAATCAGCCGACAATCTAATAAACTCCTCGCTCAGTTATTAAGACAGTCCAACTGATAACACCTGCTTTTCCTCCAGCAAAAATCAAAAACACTTTGAGCAAATGTGAACTGTGCATTCTTACTTCTACTTTGGTTTTTCAGCAGCTTGTTTGAGGCGTCAACCTGCTCACTTATTCACTTTTAAGCTAGTTGATGGTGCCTTTGTGTGGTCGTACTCACAATATCACATTATTCCAGAAGATCTTAGCCTGTTTAATTAGTTTCTTTTAGTTGAATGGTCAGACAGTTTTGCATGGAGGAAAAATGAAGCAGATTCAAGTTTAAATGTACACAAAATTAAGCTTACAATCCAGATGTCTGATTCTTCCAACGCCTATGGAGGTCATGTTTGTAGTGAGTAATTATCAGATTAAACTATGTGAGGAATATTAGCTGTGCTGTTTTCCTGTCTGGAGACATGGCGGCCCCTCTGGCAGAGATCAGTGCACCAGGGAAAGCCTGCAGGGGGAAAAAGGCGCTTTTGGGAACAGGGAGACCTCAAGCCAGGCTCGTGTCTCATGCTTTGAGGCATTTTATCCATAACTTCTGCACCAGTTGTGTAAACATAGTGAGGGTAAAGTTGTCGTCTTTAGATTGAGGTTAGCTGGGATGTTACTGTTCACATGCACGTTAGCCCTGTTTCCAAATGAAATGGTCATTTAAAGCCCTAAATTACTGAATTCAGAATTATCATCATCATCACTATCAAAAAATAGTTAAAACTGGTAATCATCTTTTTTGCCATTGGCCACTCCAATTTTTTCTTCTAATCTTATGACGTATCAGCAAAAATTCCCACCTCACCCTGAGGTTAAAAGATCTGTACCAGATATTTTGATTCGACAGTTTCATGATGATTTCATGACTAAATATTCAGCTTGGAAGAAACCCAAAAGGGTTCAGTAAGTTTCATTTAATCTGTACGACTAGACGGCCACAAAGCTATTTTTATTCATAAATAGTGATAATGAGGGTGAGGGCCATGATCTGCCCAGTTGTTCTAATCTATCCCATTTCTGCCTCTAAATCTTTCAGTTCAGAGAGGAGAAATGTGGGATCCCAAAGAGAAGATTGCATAAACTGTCTTCCATCAAAGATCTTCCACAGAATTAAAGAAATATCCCGCATCATTTTTGTCAGATCCCGAATCAAAGCTGCTCACAAGGATACAACGGGTGTGTATCCGGTTAAATATTTAATCCGGACTGTGTAACGAGGCGGCGGTTGATCAACACAAATGAAAGCTGAAAATTCACTTTCCTGTTTCTTTGGTGCTGTTAGATAAATTATTGCTTCAGTCTCCCTCCCTGCAAATGAATATTTGAGCAATAGCTTTCTGTGAATAAATAAAAATCATGTCACTTGACAGTTTTTGAAAACCACAGCCAAGATCTGACAAGTGAGATCAACACTTTGAGCACAACGGTTCAGAGAACACAGGAGCCTGTTTTTTTTCTCTTTAAAATGCAAATATAAAACCGATTTAATTTGTCATTAATGTGCTGCAGACTTCAACAGGATTTTTCTTTTGTTGCTTATGTTTAACAAACCTTTTCACACATGCCAAAGACGTGTATTTGTTCATGGAAACTGAAAAAAAATTGGAAAAAAAAACAAAAACTGCTGTTGTTGCTCTCCATTCCTCTAAAAAAAAGACACCATATCTTTAGTTCTCAGTAACAGCTGAAGACTAAAGACCTCGAAATTCTAACGTCTAAATTGCCTTTATGTCTATCAATTGAAAAAGCTATCATTTTTCAACCATGAAGTTCACACAGAGAGTTTTGTGTGATGCCCATAGTTCATCTTTAGAGGCTGAATTATCCAACATGACTCGACTGAGAACGTAGCCGGAAACGCTGCCTAAAATCAATTGATCCTCCTCGCGTATGAATTTTGAAGCTGCTCCAGAATAGAACATCACTTCAGGGGGAAAGATGAGTGAATGTTGCCTGGCAACAGACAAAAAAGTAGAACAACTGACCGCCGCGATGCAGCTGGATGTGCCTTCAGATCTGCTAACAATACCTAATCTCCCCGACAGTGGCCGAAAACTACCATCTGTCCTCCGTATCGGGACTTTGGCAGCATAACGGGAAACGGGATGTGGGGTGAATGCAGACTAAAGACTAACTATGGGCATCACACAAAACTCTTTGTCTGAACTTCATGGTTGAAAAATGATAGCTTTTTCAATTGATAGACATGAAGGCAATTTAGACGTTAGAATTTAGAGGTCTTTAGTCTTCAGCTAAAGATATGGTGTCTTTTTTTTTTAGAGTAATGGAGGTCCCGAAAGGCAGCGAATGACACGCATGGTGCAGAAAGAATAACAAAACTAGGCCTCATGGTGGATGAGTTGGGAGCTAAAGAGCAGCTCGGGTTCAGAGGGACTGATGACTAAAAAATAAGGACTACAAAATTAACTTGAAGCATGAAAAGATGGCACCATGGCAACCTAAATATTTACAGTGCATTTGTCTTTTTCTTATTTTCAGTTTGATAAAGTTTGGATGAGTCAACACTAAGACCAAAGCACATCACATTTGAGTGTATAATTGCTGCCGTTTGCTTTGCTTTGAGGGTGACCAAAGTTTTTTTTTTTGTCATTATTCATAATCATAATTTAGTTCAATACAAATTAAGCTGCTTTTTGCCATTTTTATTAACTCTTTGCTCTTTGAATTTAGTTGTTTTAATTATAATCGGAGCAGGAAGGAACTGTGAGCATTATTATAGATGCTACTTAATCCTTATAATCTGACCAAAACAGGACTTTTAAAAGTCATGCTGATGTTTGTTTAGATAAAAACATGAATAACTCTTAGATAACTGGGTTATTTGAATCTCGCCTGAATGCATTTTTATTTTTTTATTTTAGCTATATATTTTTTTTCAGTTAGCTTTTGGATTTTGTTTTTCTTCCACAGTGTTACTACGTCTCTCATCATCCGGTAAAGCGTTTCTTATGCATTGCCGGGTTACTGCATCAGCCCAATTTTATGGTCAGGTTGAGCTTCAGACTGAACCTCAGTCCCTCTGTAGCTTTGTTGAGTGTCTCATCTCAACAAAACTCACTCACTACATGTTTTTTTGCCTCTTATTTACAGTCCGGTCAGTTTTTGGTCCGGATCCACTTGCTTAATGTCCCTCTTTTTCTCATCCGCTGTTGAGCCGTGGTGCATTTGCTAGCTGGACTTATCACTAAGTCATCGATCCCAAATGTGTTCTAAGAGGAAACTGGAGTATTTAAAAAAAAAAGGATCAGTGGTGAGGTGGGCCTGTGTGAATTGTGCTAATTCTCTCCCTTCCCACATGCTGTTTGTGCAACAAATATCACGAACGTCTGCAGAGGAACAAACGCCTGCCAAAGCCGATCTTCAGAGCTCATAAAATAACTCAAATCATTCTCAGCACATCAGTTAATTTGGGTCAAAATCCAGATGGCAAACTTTAAATAATATAATGCATTTCAGAGTACTGCATCAGTTTCCCAGCTGAGGGAACATCATGATTTCATTGAATATTTAACTGGAAATACACAAAGCAGCCATCCGACAGTTTTCCCATACACAGGAAAAACTTTTCTTCCTATTTGTAAACCGCAAAAATGATTTATTGAAATGCATATGTGTCTGAAAGGATGTCTTTCCAGTGTTGTACATTTCATGATGTAATTTACTCTTGCATAATCTTCTCAGAGCATAAAGAGTCAGCTTGAGTTTCCCAGCATGAAAAGCACAATTTTTTAGCTCTGACACTGTAAACAGTTTCCCTTTTTTAATTTGATTTAATTTTTTTATAGCTATGAATTAAAAATTGGGATACAAAAAAACATTGCCAAGCTAGAATACCATGAGCACAATTTTCCCAAGTTGCTATTAGTTTTAAAATTGTATATTTTTTCACAGTAAACTGGAGCTGTGAGCGGATTTACCGCATCTATAAAGTACTGCGGTATTATTTTTGAGCTGTACTTGTGAACATCTGGCAAACTAGGTGATGATAATCTCATGGCAGTTATTGTTTGTTCAAAGCCTGAACTACTTTCCTAGCCACGGTTTTAATGTCTTGCTAGGTTAGGTTAATGACGCCGCGTGATTCTAGCGCGTCTGTGGGGGGTGTTGGCATCCCTCTCAAAACTCTGAAACTTTGAGCTGAATGTTGTGCCATTCTGCTTTATTCAAGCAGGTCAGCTTTGTGAAAGTGGTGCACGCATTTTCAGATTTGTTTGCTTTAGTTGGAGGTGAGAATTGAAGCTACTCTGAAAACTCACGTCTTCAAACTCAAAGAAATCTACTGGCTTAACCCGTTAAAGCCCGATCCAAGAAAATTGGAAGAATATTGGATTTTTTTAGTCTGAAGTCTTTCTTTGGCCCCTCAACAACACATGAAGAAAAAAAAACAGAAGGTATTTTTATCAAATTAGCGTGCAATAAGTCAAAAATGTATTTTGGTGTAGTCTTCTACTGGCTGTTATCAGGTATATCTGAATGTGTACAACAGGGGTTTGAGCAAAGCTTTTACCACTGAATGATGCAAAAAGTCTCAGATCCAAAAGACTTCAGAAACCGTATGAATCAGATATGATACATTTGGCATTATAGGGTAATAGCTTTGTTTTGGCCATGTTTGGGGCCCTGATCTACTAATTAAACTGTGGTAATAAACAATTTATCCAGTTTTTGGTTCTAAAATCTTCATTTCTATTGTGTTTCAACTAACTCTTAGCCACACCGGCCTGTTAGCCCATTATAAAAACATTACTAGCCATCCTGTTGGTCTGCGTTTCACGGTGGGTTTGTGAGGAGATTACGATACCCTGCTGCTGAAATCTGTCGGCACAGAGCGGTACAGAGGAATTGTGCACGTGTGTCATATGAAACCCATTAGCGGTCGGGCTGGGCAAGCCCTTCCACGATAAGCCTCACGCCTCAGGGAGCCGTGCACACACTCCAGTGGACTGAATTACTGTGTTTTCTTGCCTTGTGCTGGGGTGAGTGACCTTGTGTTGATGCGATGGCAGCTTGGTGTGTTGTGCTCCGTGTCACTGGGTTGTTCAATATAGCTGATTTGCCTTTGCTTCCCTCAAAAGGCAGTTTGTCTCCTTTTCTTTTTTTTTCTGTTGGTCACAGTACTGACCATAAACAGGCCATTGACGCTCAATTTTTGGGATATTTGCCGACCCCTGATTGTTTATTTTGTTTGTTTTCTTTCCCACCAAACTGATTCTCAAGTCCTGTGTTTGTATTTACAGTGCACAAGCCAATGGGCGTGCAGTTAGATAGATATAAACTCTAATCTGTTTTTAATGTAATGGCATATAATTTTACCTCCTGATACACTTCAATAAGACAAAATCCACCATTGTGAACCAAACCGTTCTAGATCTAAATACACATCCAGTCCTTTGGGGATTATCTTTGAACTCCAGCTTTAATCTCACTGCTGTCTTGGGTCTATTAGAGTTTGAAATTGTAATTCTGCTCACTCCCGGTGTTTGATTGCCACTGTTTAAGAAGAATCAGGTTTAATTAATTTGTCTCGCTGCCTCTTTGTCTCCCACCTCCTCCTCTTCTCTCTGCTCCCTCTCTTCTCCCGTTACCCCTTTCGATCTCGTCATCCTTTCCTTTTTCCCAGGTTCCTGGCCCAGTGATTTCATCCCGGACAGAAGCGGGGACTAGCAGGGGCCATGGGGGTCGGCACGGACCAGAACGTGGGCTGGCTCCTGCCTCTACTGCTGGTGGTCACGGTGTCCTCCGCCCAAAGCCAAGGATGCCCCCAGCGCTGCGAGTGCTACGCCAAACTGAAGACGGTGTCCTGTTACGGCAAACGCCTGTCCGCGCTGCCAGACGGGATTCCGCCGGACACCAAGATCTTAGACCTCAGCGGGAACAGACTTCGCTGGGTGGAGCACGGGGACCTGCTTCCGTTTCCGCGCCTCGAGAAGCTGGACCTGAGCGATAACATGATCAGCGTCCTGGACCCGAACGCTTTTTCCGGCCTTCAGAACCTGCAGTCCCTCTCGCTGAGGGGGAACCAGTTGAAGCTGGTCCCCATGGGGGCTTTCTTGCGTCTCTCCAATCTAACTTCTTTGGACCTTAGTGAAAACAAGATTGTAATTCTTTTGGATTTCACATTCCAAGACCTAAAGAGTCTGAAGAACTTGGAGGTCGGAGACAACGATCTGGTTTACATATCGAATAAGGCCTTTCTGGGTCTGGTGGGCCTGAAAGAGCTGACCATTGAGAGGTGCAACCTGACTTCGGTGTCCAGCCAGTCTTTGTCTTACCTGCATAACCTGGTGACCCTTCGGCTTCGCTACCTCAGTATCTCTGCCCTGGAGGAGCAGAACTTCAGGAAGCTGGGGAACCTGAGGGGGCTGGAGATCGACCACTGGCCCTTTCTGGAGCACATCTCCCCCCACAGCCTGCAGGGCCTCAACCTGTCCTGGCTGTCCGTAACCCACACCAACATCACCTCCGTGCCCACCTCTGCACTCCGCAGCCTGGCCCACCTCACCAGCCTCAACCTGTCCTACAACCCCATCTCTGTGCTGGAGTCCTGGGCCCTGCGGGACCTCCTCAGGCTCAAGGAGCTGCACCTGGTGGGCACCAACCTGGCCGTGGTGCAGCCCTACGCCCTGGGAGGTCTCAGGCAAATCCGCCTCCTCAACTTCTCCGCCAACGTCCTGGTGACCCTGGAGGAGGGGGCCTTTCAGTCCGTCAACACCCTGGAGACCCTGCGCCTGGACGGAAACCCGTTAGCATGCGACTGCCGCCTGCTCTGGATCCTCCAGCGCAGGAAGACCCTCAACTTCGACGGGGCCTCCCCCGTGTGCTCGACGCCCGTGGAGGTGCAGGGACGGGCTCTCAACGCCTTCTCCGACTCCGCCCTCTTCGACCACTTCACCTGCCAGAAGCCCAAGATCCGCAACAGGAAGCTGCAGCAGATATCGGCCCACGAGGGCCAGGTGGTCTCCTTCATCTGCAAGGCCGAAGGGGAACCGGCCCCCGTCGTATTCTGGATTTCCCCCCAGCGCCGCCGCATTACCACGAAGAGTAACGGTCGACTGACCGTGTTACCAGAGGGGACGCTAGAGATAAAGTACGCCCAGGTGATGGATACTGGAACCTACATCTGTATAGCTAGCAACGCCGGTGGGAACGACACCTACTTCGCCACACTGACAGTCAGTGGACTTCCCCAGGATGCTGCCCTCATGGCCAATCGAACCTACTATGTTGGAGACCTAAATGACACCAATCTGAACGATACAAGAGTCTTCTTGAAGTTCACCCTCGACCTGAAGACCATCCTCATATCGACAGCCATGGGCTGCATCATGTTCCTGGGGGTGGTCCTGTTCTGTTTCATTTTGCTCTTCGTCTGGAGTCGAGGACGAGGCCAGCACAAGAACAATTTCTCAGTCGAATACTCTTTCAGAAAAGTGGATGGACCCGCGGCCAGCGGGGGACAGGGGGGGGGCCAGGAAGTTCAACATGAAAATGATTTGATGGTTCAGAATCCCAATACTTTTTACAAGCATTCCCAAAGTCGCAACGGGACACAAAGGCGATCAAATCTTATATCTTGTGCTTGGAAATCATTAAAATGGATAATTCATGGGACGTTTTATTAAGGCAAGGTTTTGTTATCCGACTCTACTGTATGCATGCAAAAAAAGCAACGTGTGACGCTTTGACATGCACTGTTTCTACTGCTCTTTGTTGTGTGTTCACATTGTTGTGCAGACTGAATTCGAATTATGGTGAAATATTTATCAAAATCTCGGAAAGACTGTTAAAAGACCAACCAGTGACGGTCCGACCGGTCGGTTATCCCCAAAAATCTCATGCCAACGCCATCGTGGTTCCCCAAAGGGAATATGTCCCTCTCATCTTTAGAGGGCTGAACCTCTCTGCTCCATCTGAGGGGACTCAGGCGCTCTATAATGGAAACTGGTGAATACATCATTATTTCTGGGTGGTGCTCAGTGGTTGCCAAGGACTTGCCAATATCAGTTTGGGTGGTTCCGGCTATTCGCTGCTACAGTGACAGAAGCTCTCTCACTGTGGATGCAAACCTCCGATTGTCGGTTCTTACAGAAGAGATCACAGTAATTCTGCAACACTGCCAATTTCTCTACAAAGCACCAAGTACGATCCCTGTCCCTCCAAATGTGGGATGTGGGAGACAAACCCGCCGTACTTACAGCAGAAGTTTCAAGCAAACGTAGGATTTTACATCTTAAGCCACAGTGTAACCCAAGTGCAAAGCTGGGGGCAACAAATGACACAAAAACATTGTTTTTCTAGCTAGATTTTCCATTCTTATTCACAGTCTTGATCTGAAAAATCTCTAAAACAACGAATGCATGTACAGTCTTTGCTTCTTACATCAAAGTATTTGTATTCGTACATTTAAAAGGTGTTGGGTTGCACTCATCCCAAATGTCGTGTAGATAGGATTTAAAATGTTTGAGATGTATTATATATTTTGTAACCGCTGCCATTGGAATCATTGTGGTTGTTTATAGTGTTGTTGAGTGTTTGATGAAGCTTTACTGTTCTATTGTAATAAAACTCCAGATGTCACTTTTGAAAACGGTGATACTCAGTTTAGTTATGAGGAGTATTTTAACAGTGTGTCTTGCCATCCTGTAGATATGGCTGCGAAATACGCCTGCCCACAACTCATGAAGGACATTTAGTGGAAAGCAGGTGTCGGTTCCCTTCCCTATTTTTGGCTGTGCTGGTGTCAGTGGGGCGGCTTTGGCTGAGCAGCGGGGGTGGGACTTAAGTGGGTTCTCATCAGGACCTCGACAGACACATGCAGAGAAATGCTAATGCATTAAAGACCTTTTACAGAGGTCATTACGAAACTGAGCCAGAGAGGAGAAATGACTCACTCTGACGGCTGGAGCAGCTCATTTTTAATGACATTAGGCTTAAAATAGGTGTATAATAGGGTTTAAGTCTCGCTATTACTGGTTATAAAGCCCATTTCCGTATGCAGAATTACAAGATGTTTAATTTATTTCGGTTTTAGGACCGATGCTGATGCCCCTCTAAGCTAAAGTATTTCCCCCCATCGGACTGACTATTGCACTTGCTGCAGTGTTGTTTTACTGCCCTCTGTCGACAGGAAACGGTACTGCATTTTCCAGCTAAAATGCCGTTTGTGACTTCCAAACTTCCAGATTTTACACAAAGCCGTTTGCTCCTGATGGCGGACTTCTCTCCAGAATCACAGGGAGCAAATATTTTATATTCCTAATCAGGCGAACACTGCCTCTGCCAATACTGAAGGCTTCAAGTTATAGTTTTTAATGAGTTATCACCCCATATGTCCCCTGCACAGCCAAAACCATTAACAATAAACTGGGTGTGTGTTCCTGTACTGGTTCCATTTTCTCTGTACGTGCGCAGATATAGAAGCAGTTAATTTTCAGTATTTTCGTCCTTTGTGGAGTTCATTCTGTAACTGTAAAAAGCACTGTGTCTGGACATTGTGTAACACTGTTTTTGTATTATGTTTTATTAAAGAAAAAAAAAAAGAAGCACACTGTTTTTAAGGCATGCGTTATGTGGAATTATAAAGTGTCTCCTATTCTATTACGGTGTTAACTGTGTCTTCATCTTTATGGTGACATTCTGTGGGATTAGATGGTCAGAGTCTAGAATAGACCTGTGACCTCCCCCACCCCCACAGTCTGAAACCTCTGTTTCAAACGCTGTTGAGTTTCAATTAGTTCCTCAAATAGTATTGTCACACTTTACTTCTAAGGCTTAATAGAGTCAGAAGGCTGGTTGTCATGATGTAAGCCTGTGGTTCCTTTTCTATGCATTCATCAAAAGTCACAAATAAACAAAACCTTGTGCGCAGAAAAAGGCAACACAACTCACACCTTAACGTGTTGGAGTTTTTCTTCTTCGGCTTTCTTGATCCTAAGGTGTTAAACCAAACCAAGTTGTGAGATGAAACTAACCTGCATTATTTTTACTCGTGCATGAGAATCGATACCTCAGAGCTCAACACCCTGTTAAACATTTTAGCATTCAAAAGAGCTTTTCAGTAATTTAATGCCTCTTGTCTCGAATAATGAAAGTCATAGTTCAACTCGTCTACATACGTGAAGGATTTGGAACATTTAAAGGCTCAAATCAGTCATATTTGACAGCATAAACTGGACATTTCAACCAGCTGAATGCTGTCGACTTAATGGTTTGCTGATAATGCTAAAGGTCAAATAGGTCTAAGTGGGAACTGACATTTGTATTTTTCACACAGTGACTGTAGCTCTGTTGGCATTAAAGAAACGCGCCATGGGCTAAAAAAGCACTGACCTTTGGTTGTTTTCCTTTCAGAATTAAGGGGGCAGTAAGATGAATGTATCCTGGATAATTACCATCTGAACTTGGATCCTTATAGATGCCCTCAGGCTTTGCCATAATTCAAAGAAAACTGAAAAGAAGAGCCTTCAGTCTTGAGATCTTCTCAACAGGCTGGATCACTCCTGATTTTCAGATGAGGATGACATCATCAAACGGCTGGGTTTGTATTCATGTGTCCAAACAGTTGTTTACAGGTTTCTATTTGGCTTCAACTGTCATGTTTAACTACTGATCTCATCTGATCGTATTAATGCAGCTCACCATGAGTTGATGTACTCTTTAGACCACCTTTTTACCGTCATCAAACCTCAACCAAAGACATTTAATAGATCTTTAAACTGAGCCGACACAGAGGTTTGTGTGTCCTGTCCCAGAAGAAGCTCCCAATTATTGGACAGTCTAATTGCATCTGGCTTTCCACTCATCTGGTCATTACTAAAATAATGGAAAGTGTTTGAGTTTGGAAAATCAGGTAAGTTGTTTTCTTTTTTTACCTAAACCACTAAATTTGACAACTCCATTTGTGAGGTTTCAAGTCAAATTATTTGTCACAAAGGTAAATCTTATCTAATATTGTATGAATGAGATGAGCATTTATTCTAAGTGGTGCCCTTGAATTTGGAAATTGATTGGTCAGCCTGGCTCATGGAGAAGCTAGTGCTATATTTAGGGCTAATTTTTAAAGCTGAGTGGATCCAACTCATTGGAAACAGAAGGCAGCCTACCCAGACAAAGCCCCCTCATGGTGGGGGTTGAACTTTAATCTGACTGGGCTGCTACTGTTCTCAACCTACCTCATCCTTTACCATAAGCATGGAACGATGAATCATCTTTTGATAAATGTACACCTTTAAACTGTGAGTTTGAAGGGTTTTTGTACCTTTGCTATTTGAAACACATCTTTGCCTTCTTCTTTTTCTCCCTTTGTGTTCTTTTTTGTTTGTGCACAGCAAAAATTGTGGCTTAATGTTTGCCTCTTCAATGTTGAGACGGAAAATTCTTTAATGATATTTTCCTAAGAATACTGAAAAAACTTTCTTAAGTAGGTGACTCATAATTACAGCAGCCGCAGGTGGTTTTGCCCCCCCCCTCCTCTTTAAGTATGTGCTGTATTCTGGTTCCTCTGCAGAGGGAGGAATTTTAAAAAATCACCAACATTTGTCATGAGCTGTGGAAAGATGCACAACTAGGAAAGTGCTCGACATAAAATCATGTTCCTGACCGAGTCACTGCAGTTAAAAATAGCCATTTGTTCATTCATTTATTCATTTGAGGGGTTCAAACACACACGCACACACACACATACACATACCTCCTTCATTTGGTTAAGAGAGGAAATGAGTGCACTTTAGCACAGAGATGCTCAACCTCTGCTTCTGAAGTCTGTTCCAGCTCCACCATGGGAACGTTTATTTGGTCGTTCCGGTGATATAACACTGTGTGTGTGTAGATCAAAAATGCATGCAAGTGTGGGTAGTAATTGCACATTTTGTGTTACCATTGTGTTGAAATGTGGTGACCTAAATGGGATTGTTGTGGTTAGCAGCTGACAAGCAAACAATTCACAATTCTTATGTGTGCAGAGAGCTAGTCTTTTATTCTGTTGTTACTCGATGGTGACTCGATCTGATTTGGATCCACATGAACATCTGAGCATTAGCTTTGGTTTCTCACCTTTTGTGAGCAGTTTCAACTGAGAAGATGAATCTGTTGCTGATTGTGTGTACAGCCTCCGGCCTCGTCATACCAGCATGAAATCCACCAACCAGGCTGTTTTACAGCTTCAAAACAATAAAACACAACCTTAGTCATCGAAATCCTCCATTCACGATATGAATGTGAGAGAAAAAAAAAAAAAAAACAGATCAAATCTCATTTAAATGAACTGAACCTTTAGTTTAAATCATTCTAATTTTTAATAATATTTATTAATCTAACTTTTTCCTATAACATGAAAATAAGAAAAGGTGTGGTCGGCTTATTAAATGGATAGAAAACATGAAGGTTTATCTGCTGCCTTCCTCAGAAGGGTCAAGCTGTGGCTGCACTTTCTCCCTGGACTTAAATACTTACTTACTTTCTGAGAAAAGGCCACTGAATTAAACAGGCATTACAGTGTGTCAGTGAGACAATGGAGCCAACTGAGGTTGAATGCAGTCAGAACTGGGCCACACACACACACACACACACACACATGCCATATGGCCAGTTTGTTCATTTTCTGTGGTTCCAAGAGGTTGAGGGAACGGAAATGTTGTTGGAGGCATTAAAAACATTCAAGTAGTTCACAAAACACCTCCACACGATGACCCACGATGCTTAGTCCTGAACTAAAGCTCAGAACGGCCAGTTTGTGCCCTAACGTGTGAGTAAATTTCAATAAAAGTTCAATTTATTAGCTCATCCACTATATGCTTGGTGGTAAATTCATGAGCTTGTCTTTAAAAGTCTTTTTAAAAAAAAGTTTATTGAGTTATAAATGACAAAGTTATTAATTGAGATATCTTCAGTTCATCCAAAAGGCAAAATATAAAAAAATTCATGAATTTTATTGAATTTCATCAAGTATCTTTTATACAGTGTCATTATCAAGTTCATTTAAATCGCTGTGGTTATAAAACTATGAAAAATTACAAATACAAGCAAAGAGATGAGTGACCATGTCCTATTTTTCCTTTGACGTTAGACTGCAGTGGTTACTGAGTCTGAAAAACCGAGGGAAATAGATAGAAACACATAATCCCGCTTAATTAACAGCTACAAGTCTGCATCTTCACGTTTACCCATGAAAATAAAAACACAACCTGAAAGAGGACAGCTCTATTTAAACACATGCATGTAAAAAAAAAAAGGTTGAGCACCAGTTGGTGAGAGAGATTTGGACAGGTACTCCATCCTTTAGATGAGGATGATGAGCTGAGCTGCACAATGATTTAAATAAAAAAACACTGAAAACAGCAACAGTCTTTTGAAATACTCCAGAAACTCTCCTGAGCTGGAGCGGTTTCTGTTTGAGGCACCCACAGAAATACAAGCTTTTCAAGATCGTATTTGTTGTAGTTTGAATGGCCTTCATGTGTCATAAAGCGTGCACTCCCGGGGTTCCTCAGAAAAACCGTGTGCACGTTGTGTCATCAGTTCACAGAAACTCAGCTCTGATTGTCAGCAGGGATATTTGTCAGAATGAAACCAGTAATGTCAGAAAGGGTTTAACCCTTTAAAGCCTGATCCAAGAAAAATAGGAAGAATATTTTTAGTCTGAAGTCTTTCTTTGGCCCCTCAACAACATATGAAGAAAAAAAAAAGAAATTATTTTGATCATATTAGCGTGCAATAAGTCAAAAATATATTTCCGTGTAGTCTTCTACTGGCTGTTATCAGGTATATCTGAATGTGTACAACAGGGGTTTGAGCAAAGCTTTTACCACTGAATGATGCAAAAAGTCTCAGATCCAAAAGACTTCAGAAACCGTATGAATCAAATATGATACATTTGGCATTATAGGGTTAAATCTTTCAGGATTATATTTCTATAGATTGTCGTCTCATTGTCATCTTTTGGCTTTCCACTTTTAAAGTCCCAGGTTCTACAGTCAGAGGGCAAGATTTAGACTGTGGTGATCTGTAAAACTTCGCTAGCCTTTGTTTAGTTTGTACCACATATAATACATTTGGCATTATAGGATTAAGGCTGCCAACCATTACGAGATAAATCCGCCCCTCTGTGGATTCGTCAGTCGGAGCTGTATTGTCTTTGTGGGGAACCGGTTCGACCTCCTTTAGCTGTGATTTTATGATCTGGAGGGGCATAATTCGGCTGCCCAGGCACCTGCTGCTCTTCCTCATCCGAAGCCACTCTGGTGGGAATGGGCTTCAGAAGAGGGGCTCCGGGACAAGATGGGAAAGCCGGCAAGAGATTTCGAGGGAATACGAACGGAGCGAAGACCCCAGCTCCTGCTGTACCGGGCGAATTTAGGTAGGAATAGCCTCTCATGGCGTGGAGAGCGTAAGAGGGGAGTAAAAACGGCTGAGGGGAGTGTGGGCCAGGTATAATGGAAGAGTCCCTCCCTCCGTAGTAGTAGTTCCTCTGGAGGGACTGGGGGCTGCTAACTGGCCCGGGCTGGGAGCTGCTCTGGGAATGGGGCTGTAGGTGGTTCCCAGTATACCCAGCAGGGTGGGTCAGACCAAAGTGGAGCTTGATGGCCATCAACTCGGCGCTGAGCCTGGCGTTTTCCTCTTTGAGGGCCAGCAGGTGGCTCTCCAGGACGTAGTCGTTCATCCTCCGCTTCTCCCGGGACCGTTTGGCGGCCTCGTTGTTCTTCCGCCGCTTCTCCCAGTACAGAGCGTCCTTCTTCTCCTCGGGAATGAACTCCCGGCGGCGGCGGGCTCCCTTACGCACCACGTCGTTGTCCAGTTGTATGACTGAGCCGTTCTGGTGGAAGGATAGCAACGGACTCTCCATCCTGAGCAGAAGAAGAGTGACCCTGCAGACCTGAAATGAAAAAGCAGGGTTCATCGTAAGGTTTCCCTGCTCCCTCACTCCTGATTCAATTCAATTCAATTCAATTTTATTTATATAGCGCCACATCACAACAACAGTTGTCTCACAGCGCGTTCCAAACAGAGCAGGTCAGACCCTACTCTGAAGATAATTACAGAAACCCAACAATTCACATCAAATAGATCTCAATTAGAGCTCTGCACAGGACTGCTGATGTTCTACTGATGTGAATTGGGTATTTTAAAACAGGGAAATCTTTAAAACCTGAAGCCCGCCCTGGAGGCCTGGCTATAAATGCTAAAAAATGCAATATTTATCAATCATTTTCTATCGTCCATCCATTATCGTAACTCCTTATCCCCTAATGGGGTCGGGGGGGGGGGCGGAGCCTATCCCAGTAACCAATGGGGAGAGGCGGGGTCACCCTGGACGGTCCCCAGTCCATCACAGGGACACACAGAGACACACAACGACCGACAACCACACACACTCACACTAAGGGCAGTTTGGAGTCCAGCCAACCTAACATGCAGGTTTTTGGACGGTGGGAGGAAGCCGGAGAACCCGGAGAGAACCCACAGACACAGGAGAACATGCAGAACCACCCAGAAAGGTCCTGGTTCCCCCGGGGACTCCAACCCAAAACCCTCTGGTCCTGGTTTCCCCGGGGACTCCAACCCAGAACCCTTTGGCCCTGGTTCCCCCGGGGACTCCAACCCAGAACCCTCTGGTCCTGGTTCCCCCGGGGACTCCTACCCAGAACCCTCTGGTTCCTGGTTCCCCCTGGGACTCCAACCCAGAGCCCTCTGGTCCTGGTTCCCCCGGGGACTATCTGGTCCTGGTTCCCCCGGGGACTCTAACCCAGAACCTTCTTGCTGTGAGGCAACGGTGCTAACCACCAAACCACTCTTCCGCCATTTTCTATTGTATTCTATTCTAAAATGTCAAACAAAAACAAAAAAACAAAGACTTTAGCAAATAACGGGGATCCAGAGGCCGGGTTACCCAGGTACGTCTGTATAACAGTACCGAACAGTGTCGTTTTACCTTCAGTGGCTTTGTGCTGGGTTCCCCTCGATATCCAAAAGTGTCCAGAAGCTTGTCATGAAAAAAGGAAAAGAAAGTTGGTTGTTTGCAGCAGAATGTAATGGTGATGCATGCCTAAATTATCTGTTTGTCAAACCCTGGTAAAGGAGTCCAAAAGGCTGCGGAGCTCTCTGTCATTCAGAGGCCACCTCAGCATCTAAACCGGCTTCCTGACCCAACCTCACCCAGCATCACCCCCTACCTGTCTAGACCACGTGAGAAAACGAGACGGAAACGTTAAGTAGACAAAAGCAGACCCTGGACTTTTTTTTTTATTTCCAAGTTTCATGCTGCAGCTCGTTTTATGCTCAGAGGTTTTGATGTTCCTTTGCTGCCGAATGGCCGGCGAGTGAGGACAGTTTGACTCGTTTCTTTTCTTCTTTTTCACAAATTTCAGACGCTAATGTCGCCCCGTTTTGCAGAATTTAACTCAAACTAAGTCAAATATGGATTGCACGGTGATGAAACTTTTCTGTGGCCACAAAGTTCCATTTGCTACCAGAACATGATTACATCAGTGTGTTGAGTTCACCTACACTACACACGGCCTTTCACCATCATAGCGAACTCCCTTCAGACATATAAAAGAACTCGTTCTTTAATCTTACAACGGTTAGTTTCTCACTCTGTCTTCCCCTGGTTTCTGTTACGTGGCTTTGTCCACCCGGCCTACCGCCTAATGTGAGACTGGCACACTGTGGATGCGTTTTATTTTACTGTACAGACTCCAAAAAATCTATGTTGTTTTGTTGTAATCAGCCTGAAAAGGAAGGATGATTTATTCTAATAAATTCTCTCTCATTTGCGTGGGTTTGTGGGTGGTTTTATGGGAAGCTATGCAAAATGAGCGAACAGTGTGGAAACCACAGCCAGCCTCCTCTGTGCACGATCAAACACAAAAAAGCACGCAAACGGCTGTGCACGCTTCTGTCTTCTGGCTTGTTTATGTTTCTCTCGCACCCTAAAGTTGCACCCGACACTAGATAAGCCCGTTTAGAATTAGAAAAATCGCACCGAAAAGCTTTGCCATTGAATGTGACACCTCATGAGTGTGTGTGTATGCTGCCACTCAGGATGTCACACGGGCAGAAAAACTAAAACCAGCTCAACGGAGCGTCTCCTTTCATTTCATTCTCACACTCTGTCTGTCTTTAAGTGCCTTCTGTGCATGTTTATTGGCCTCTGGTTGATCAATCGAGCCTCAATTATCGCAAATACGTTTCCGAGGGGCTTTGGGTGCATGGGTGAGAATGAGCTTGAGGTTTAAAAATATCCAAACCGACCGTCAGAAAGAGTGAGGACCCCAACTAGTGTGAGCCCGTGCACATCTGCACGCTCGGGTGGAAGACAAAGACTACGTGCTGTGCACTTAAAAAAAGCAACAGCAGGAAGAGAGAGAACAATAATCACACAGGGAGACACAGATGAAGAGCGCATTAAAAAAAAAAGGCCGGGTTCCTGAGCGGAGCCTCTCTGGGGGGCCCAGCGCTCATCACTCGCACCTGTTTCTGAGCCTAATCATAGCCGGCCTGCTTTTTAGTAAGGAACCCTCGAACTTCTTCTTTTGGCGCCTATCCGTTTGTCTCTCGTTCTAACATCTGTTGTTGTGTAGCCGTGGGCCACGCCAGCCATTTTTTAAAATAACCTCTCATAGGAAGAAACTGTGGCTTTCCTTCTCCGGATTATCTGTTCACACTGGGCCCAAACTGACATCAGGGGAATTAAAGTGAACTCTGAATTGCCTTGAATTGTACACGAGAGCGTAGATTTCTTGAAGGGCTTCGCTGACAATTCACAACACAGTTTCTGACGTCTAAATTCCAGGTGGAAGGGGCCTGCTTATCATTTTATTTAGCTTGTTGAGCTCTTTAAATCTTCCTATTCTGTAGTCAATTTGTGCTTGATTTAATGAGGGATCTATGAAAATAAAACCCAGTTTACCTGACATTGTGAGTCAGAACGAAACCCGGGCAATGAACAAAACCCACAAAACTAGTAGAGAACCAGAATTAAAGCAGGTGTCCACCAGTCAAACATAATCTCCTGTTCTAAAACGGAGAAAAACCTCTGCACACATCTGGGATCCTGATCCTAGTACAAACTATTGTTGGGTCCAGACTTTGTGTCAAAGTGGTGAAACCTAGTCAAAGGAGAGCCACCATCACACCTTCATGCTCGATTAAACAGGCAAATGTTAATTCATGCATCTGTTTAATTTATACCGATTCATATTTTCTATCAAATACTCCAAACCGGAAGCAAAAAATCTGACATATTCTGCAGATTAAAGCCTGTGTTTAAAATCAGATAAGATGAAGGCCTTCACCTCGTCACCATTAGATATGCTGGAAATCGTGTGACGCCAAAGAACGAACGGTTGTGTAAAAGTGGGGTTATGATTACCGACTTATTAAAGGTGTTCTGGTTTTTGGTGAGACCGAGACTCGGCGGTGTGCAGCGAGCCGCTGAAAGTCCTCCTTTGTCAAATTTAAAATCGAGCAATGTGAAATAAACTTCTCACACCACTTAGAAACGACATTAGATATTTAATCTGCATTTTTCTGACAGTGCACACGTCACAAGCCTAACAAATTAGTATAAAATCAGGAAAGGGGACGAACAAATGGCCTATCCATTGATATTCACAAAGAAATTAAAATGATAAATAATAATTATCATTATTTAGAAAATAGTTCTGTTTTTTAAATTGTCCATTTAACCCCTATAAACTCAGCCCTGACTAATCTATTAAAACTAGACAGCCAAAGTCCTCACATTTACCTAAATGTGAATTTTAAAGTGTTATTTAGAACTTAGTGAGGTGATAGAGGATAGATAGAAATTATTTATAGTTGACTGTTTTTCATCGCTTCAATTTTGTAACAAGAAGTCTGAATATGAAACAGAAAAAAAAAGAGAACAAAGCACTTTTGGCGTTAAATGGCGAGAAATCCTTCCATAAAGACATAAGGTTGTATATTTGGACCTTGTTGGAAAGGTTTGTGTATTTTAACAACTTTAGAAGATGAGTTTGGTTTTAAAAGGAATTGATTGAAACACTGGCTACCACATTAGACTGAACATTAGAGGCTTCTCGTCTATTAGCACCCTTTGATGGAACAATATTTAGGACAGAAATATCCCATATGATAGAGTCTATATACAATCTGAGGAAACGTCTTATCAATGTATCTAAAAACTAAATTTATCACAGTTAATTGAGATCAAAGCAGACTTTATCAAACTGAAAGAGGCTTAAAGGTCTCTTGTGTGCAGCATTGAACCAAATCGATTTATAAATATTGAATTTTTCTTCCGTTTTAGTCAGAAAGCACAAAAAAGAGTCATATCCTACATGTGTTGGCCAATCAAAATAAGATTAATATTATTATCTTGTTATATATGTGCAAGGTAGAAACACTTCCTCTTTCCTTAAAAAACTCTCAGATAATAAAGTGATAAATTAAGAACAAGCTCCTTTCATTTTGACGACGACGCACAAACCAGAAGGCTAAAAACTGCTTTTATGGTCAAACTTTTAAAAGAGTTCCCTCTCGGGTTTGCAAAGCTGGAGTCCGTATTTCTGCGATTCTGTGATCTATCACTCTGAGTTCTGACTGACGAGCGGCTCTAAACTCGTCCGTGTTAATTTGTGCGACGCAAATAAAGATGGCGTGGCGTGTCTGGAACACAACCAGCTTTTAGCCACCGACACCTCCATCATTTCCTTCCCTGAATCCATCCGATACGAACGTGTGAAGCCCAAACCACATTATTTACCCGACACCAGCGGGGGCCTTACCTCCGGCCCACGTGGGCAGCAGGTCCGGGGGGTCAGCGGGGGTCAGAAACAGAAATCCTGAGCTCCTGAGTCCTAACCTGCTCTTTCTAGCTCTGAGCCCTCCTGTGAGGCTGTGCTATGCATTTGGTGAGCATATGGGTGAGGGGTGGGGGGGTAGGGGGGGGTGACAGTCGCTCTCTGGCCCTAAACCGACTCGCTCTATGTATCTGTATCTGTTTTTTCTTTTTCTGAGTCCTTTGGGGCTGTTTTCTCCCGTCTGGGGACTCTGACTGTCCACGCCGAAGCCTCGGCCTCGGCCTCCGTATTCGACATCATTTTGCTGCTTTATTTGGTGAGGAGAAGTGTAAAACGAGCAAAGATGGAGAGCCGAGCGGAGCCATCTGAAGCGTGTCTAGTCTGAAATAAATCTAGGTTGCTTCAGATTGACGGAAAATACGGAAGTGTTCTTCGGTGTCAAAGTGGCCACACTCTGTTTCTTAGTTTTGAACTGGAAAAGCATTTTTAAAGGACAATAAACTGATTCATTTGGCTCTCACTGGAAATTAGATTTCTGTCCTCATTTCTAAGTATAGACAAGCGTTTTGTTTCCTGTTATTTTTTCTGTCTGTGTGCGAACTCAAAAAATGTTGTATTCTGTCACTTGTTGCTTTATGTCAACTATGGTTTGTTTTAACCTCTAAATTTAGCCTCTTTTCAGTTAATCAATCTCACTTCAGAGGCCTTTGAGACGGAAACCCCACAAATTTAGATAAATTTAAAGTCAAGATGTGAATACATTTATTTTTGTAAATACCATAAGAGTTTAAAGGTCAGTTAGATATTATTTTTCTGGTTGTTTGAGATATGTATAATTTCCCATTGTTGTAATTAGGTTTACAATTTTTTTTTTCAATCTCTGAGAAGTTTAACATATTGACTTTTACATATGTGTTTAAACCACAAATTGGACAGATTTGTGTCATAAGAAGACCAAAAAAAATTAAACTCCGTCAAAAAAAATATTTTGGATTGTTACTAAATTCTCTTATTTGATCTAATTTAATACATTATGTCAACGTTCGTGTGAAGAGTAGATGAACACACTGTAAATTAAAGAGCGTCCTGGCTGTATTTACTTTACATTTTGCTACAGAAACTACAGAAACAGACCTGCAGAACTCGGAAAACAGTTTGCAACCGCTTGCATTGCAGCGCCCTCTGCTGGTGCGTTCAGGAACATCCTGCTCAAAATGCTTTTATGAGCAGGAACAATGCGTAAGTTTGTCTCTGTGGAGGTAAAGCAGCCTGCTGTGGACGGTGTGAGATGATGAATTAACTCTCATTTGAATGTACACAGAAATAAAGACGAACTTATTGAATAAAAAAATACAATACCAGCAAACTGATTGGAAATTATGTACATTTATGACGTTTTCAGGTGCGTCCAGGAATGAATAAAAAAATGAAGGAGTTTGCTCTCAGATGCCAAAGCGTGAAGTTTTTTACCTTCAAATTGTCCTAATGTCTTATTCCTGATGAGTTGTTTCTGCGTCATAATATTAACACGACTTTGAAAATGTTTTATGGGACGATTTCCTACGTTTTCTCTTTATTCTTCTACATAATCCTGAGCAAACTGCGGAGGCGTGTGTCTAGTTATCGGAAGATTATTCTCCACTTTTTCGTCAACGTTTTTGTTTAACGTAAATCACTAATTTTTCAGCTTTCTCTGCGCAAATGATGTGTTAAAGAAAACCAACATCCCAAACGTTGGCCCGCAAACTAAACTGTTGAACGTTGAGTTTTCCAGCGAATCGAAGTGTGCTGGGAAATCACGCTGTGGGGATAAAAGGGGAAAACCACCCCAACAAACAAACACTTTCGCTGGTAAAAGTCTCTTTTACCACAAGGTAAGAAAATAACGGCCTAAATCCCCGCGCGCAGCAATCTCTGCAGAAGAGGATTTGGATAGATTACAACACAGATGAATCATAAAGTCTTTGTGACCACATCTGAGCAAATGGTTGAAATAATCTGTTTAATCTTGTACATTACATAGATTTCTTTGGTACTTTTGTGCAAATGGTTTAAATAATCTGTTTAATCTTGTACATTTCAGAGATTTCTTTGGTACTTTTGTACTTTAATTACAATATTTATTCATTTTTTTTAATACAACGGGCATACAATGTGCAAATAATTTTTACACAAATCCCCCCCAAAATGTCATTCGTGAATATTAAATCTAGTTGCTGAGAGTTTTTAAAGGCTGTAACATATTTTATATTTCACTTGGGCAAACAGCATTACGGGGTATTACTATTTAGCATTTTATTGATCTATTTATTTAGTTTTTTTCGTGTGTTTCTGTCCATTTTGGGCCTGGAGGTCTGCATCAGGGCGCAGGGCAGCTGAAGCGGCTTTTGGATTCTCTCTGTGAGCTTTGGTCCCGGTCCGGCCTCCCGGTGGGCAGGTAGGGCCCCCCCCCCCCCCAGGGCAGCAGCGGGTTGCAGAGGGCCGGGTGGCTCAGGGGGGGCAGCAGCCAGTTCTGCGGCGGGTACGGGGCGCTGGGGAACGCGTCTAATGTCGGTAAATACGTCGGGAGGGAGGACGCGGGGGGGTCAGAAACCGGTCTCTGTGGGGCTCCCTCCGCCTCCACCGGCCCCCCGGGCAGAGGCCCAGAACCGGGCTGCGTTACGCACTTTGGGTGAGGGTTAAACACCCCGTAACCCAGATTGGAGCCCAGATGAGGGATCTTTGCGTCCAGATGTTGTGTCCCCGTTTCCTGACGCATCATCTCGAGGTTGGAGCTCCTCCCGGGGGGGGCCCAAAGCCCCGGATGGAAGAGATTAGGGCCGTGAGGCAAGGCCCGGGACGAGGCCAGGACGTGGTGCTGCAGCTCCAGCATCTGCGCGCGCAGGTGCGCGTTCTCCTCGCTCAGGGCCAGCATTTGGCCCTCCAGGAGCAGGTCGTTCAACCGTCTTTTCTCCCGGGAGCGCCGCGCCGCCTCGTTGTTCTTGCGCCTCCGGTCCCAGTAAACGGCGTCTTTCCGGTCTGCGGGGGTCATCTCCCTCTTCCGGCGTCTGGCGGGGCCCGGGTGGCCCCGGTAAGGCACCGCGCGCCGTGGAAGAAGTTCCGTAATCTCCACCGGGGAGGGAGGGGGGCAGAGTTGGGGAGCCGCCCCGTTATTCCCGGGACTCCCCGCAACCGACATGCCTCTGGTGGAGGTGAAATCGAGTGTCACTATCATCCTCAGGTGGTTATTCTCAAAGGAAAATAACTCAAAAGGGGTCAAAGTGATTTTTGACGGTGGTTAGATTGAAATATTTTTTGCCCAGTTTGTTAGTTGTGGAAATAGACTCAGGGAAAACTGCAGTAATCTGAATGAATTACAACGAAGTATATATTATATTTATATATTATAATATTAATACATTATTTAAAGTTGGAGTTCTACTTTAAGCCTGGTGAGAATATTTAATAGGGCAAGCGTCTGTTTACTTTACTTCCTCTATCGCGCGCAGTAAAGTGATTGCGGATAACAAAACCAAAAAAAAAGACAATAAATGACTTTTTTTTTCTCACAACAGACTGTTTCTGACCCCAAACCGTGAACCGGCCCGTGACAGTTTGAGGTAACCAAGGTGAGCAAAGCACTGACCTGGGAGGAGTTGCACCTGGGGGCAGCTGGGCTCCGGAGGCTATCCACGCGCACTCAGACCCAGCTCCATGCACGGTTTTACGCGTGGGGCACGTTTGTCCGAAATCAAAATTGAACCTGTACCTTAAAGACGCGCAAACGGAGCCGTATTGCGCGCGGCTGCTGGGCGGTGCGCACCCTGTGCGCGCGCAGCCAATCGCGCTGTGCCCTCGCGGCTGCTTGGCTTTAAACTGGAAAGTGATCAGATCAGCCACCTGTAACGTGCGCGCGGCGTGGTCACGTCAGGTGATACAGAAATGAGTCACTTTGGAATTTGCTGTCCCACTTTTCGCCTTTTTTTCAGTTACAACAAAAATTCTGCGTGACCTGAATGGACACGGTGGGATTCACTGGCAAGACTTATTTTAAGTTTACAAATGGCCATAATTATGACGATTTAGAGTTAATAAACATATTGAGGATCATGGGAAAGAAGGAGATCCTGTTGTACTCCTTGAGGGACCAATTTATTGATCTGTTCACACTCCATGGTTATTTATTTATTTATTTATTTATTTATTTATTTATTTATTTATTTATTTATTTATTTATT